CCCCCCCCCCCCCCCCCGCCCCCCCCCTTGTCAAAAACTCACCGCTCCGAAGCTATTCCGCCTAGACAGCCCCCCGGTGCTCCCACGAGATGCCCGCCCTCCTTGCCCCTGCTGCTGCGCCGACTGCGATGGCGGGGCGCCGTGCCTGCCGCTGTTGCTGCCGAACGGGTCCGCTTCCGACAGCGGCCTCGACCCTCGCCCTCGTTCGGCAGCGGTCCCGCGCGGCACGCTGTGGTTGTCGGTATTGGTTGATTGTTGACGTTAAAAATCGTTTTGGAAATGTTGTCGGTGTTGTTGTCTATTGTTGCAATAACTTGTTGGGAAAATCGTGTGTAATATTGTCGTTGTTGTTGATTAATTGTTGCGTACTTGTGTGTGTGAAGTTGTTTTCTTTTGTTTATGATTTTCATGTCCGAGTATGGATCGGTCACAACACCACACACAACGCGGTGCTCACCGCGCGGCAGCGAGGACAAGCGCGGAGCGCACGTGCAGAGACGAGACAAAATCCGCGCCGCACACACATGCGTGTGAGTGGGAGGAGAGGCAAATGCAAACCACGCCGGCACACAAGTCTCCCCCACCGACCACAGAACCTCCGCAAACAAGCATGCATACACGGAAAAAGGGAACGTGGCTGTACCCGCCACACGCGACAAAAATCCCACGGTGACCTCGTGGTCCATCCCGCACACCGGAAGAAGGAGAAGCTACGCCGAGACGAGGCGAAACACACAGAGCACTTTCGCCCGAACAAAAAAAAAAAGGAACCACATGCTTCGTCCTCACGCCCCGAAACACCCGTCACGACAGGTACATGGTACCACGAACTGAGGCTGAGGGACGGGAGAAAAATACGTTGTTCGAAAAAACACAAGAACGCAATCAAAAGAATAAAGAAAACAGTCGCTGTTTCCTATGGTGGATATTGCCAACAACGACCAACAAAAACGAACACGTCGTTTTCTCACCTGACGGATCGACTTCGAGACGACCGCGATAGCCGCGCCGGCAGCTCCCCCGCCGTGGAGGGCGGCGCGCGGCCTCTACCGCCACTGCTGCTGCTGCTAGTGGTGGGCCGGCCCCGCCCCCCCGGCGCCGCGTCCTGCTGCTGCTGCTGCTGCGCCGACCCCCCCCCCCCTCTTCTCCTCTCGTCGCCGGCGCTGCTGCTGCCGGCGCTTCCTCCC